GAGACACTAGACGGCTGGGGCATCAAGTACAGCATTGTCGTTTGCAAACCTGGGGAGTTGATTGTCACCCTGCCGTACACCTATCATCAGGTGGTAAACCTCGGTATGAATTTAGCAGAGTCGACCAACGTATTGTGGCCGGGTACAGAACTTCGGTTGGGAAGCTACTCGTTCTGCAGTAAACGACGATGCGGCAACAGAGAATCATCAATAAAAGAGACGGATTTTGCGGTCCTGATTCAAGACGATCAGACCGATCTGTCAGGGACCGATGCACAAACAACTGCTGGAGCAAACCAAATCCAATAGAAGCATAGTAATAAATGCGGAGACGGCAAAGACGAAGATGACAACAACGACGATGAAGACAACGGGAGTAGCATCAGCGGTAGCAATAATAGGGATAAGAGTTTAGTAGAAAGAATTGTTTTTGATATTACCAATAGGGAGTCGTCCGTCCGGTTAGCTAAACGTACTAAATCTCACCACCGACCTTTGCAATGCCTGTCATCTCTTGAAGCCTTTAGAATGAGGATACTAGCGGCGCTTGACGACCCTGACAAGATTAATGCCGGCGGTTAAATTCTTTGATTTTGGTGTTCATCTCCCTCCCAGACCAATTATGCGTGGTGGTCTTCACTGCAAAAAGGCAAACCACAAGTCATCTTTTCATAGGAAATTGTTCCCGTGGCTCGCAGAAAGGGAAGAGACTATGTTTGTCAGACTTTAGCCCAAAGTCTTCTGAGAGCGAGTCTGCCTTGCACACGTTGCGTGTTGAATGCCCCGTACGCCGCAGTGTGGGTACTCCCCAAGTATTCCCACCACTGAGAGGTGCGCGCATGTCCCCGTTATGGTGTACGCCCTAGGTACAAAATAACGAGACAGGGATCTCGCGCAAGTGACGTCTGTCAGGCCTATCAAGTCAAGCTTACATTCATCAGGCATCCAAAGTGTCCGTCACACAGCATTAGAACGGTGGCTGGTAGCGCGTCGTGCCGCACCGCGTTGTGTTTGGAACTCTCGCAAACTTCTTTGAAGATTGCTGGCTCAAACTTGCGCGGGATTATTCTCTGGAAAATCCCGCACGCTAGTTAATATCATCATGGCACAAATGCACTTCCGTTACCGCCGAAGTGCGATCAGTTCAGACGCATTTCCTCGTCGCGGGGGCAAGCGAGAAGAATCGCCGCCCAAAAGGCGGGGTTCCGCCAAGATTGGCACTACAACAAAGCAGATCTCGAAGAAAAGACGTGTTAAAACCGACACCATCAGCTCAAATCCAACCGAGCCCAAGGACGAAGGTATGATCATCAACCCAAGCGCCAGTCCTTACAGGTTGTAACCGTGAATTCTCATAGAGTACGACGATGACGACAGGATAATCGGTCATACGTCAACCGGCAACGGCCATTCTGTGAGCTTCATCACAGAACGAGCTACCGATCAATCGCGCAGAAATGTGCCCGAAGTGATCATTCAACAAGCGACACCCTCAAAAGTATATGCGTATTGGGGCGCTTTGGGGAAGTCCCGCGAGGAGACGATTGGGACTGATCACTTCAATGTGTTTGCAATTCTTGACCACGACTCTCAAAGCAAGCGCCTGAGAGTGCAATGGGTAGGATACTCGGACTCGGTTCAGGACACAAGTTGGGAAACAGTCCCTAAGATACGACGTCTTGATCCAGCTCTTTTCAAGGACTATCTCGTCGCTCGGGGGCTGACAGGCAGTCTCCAGCAGAGACGCAAAACGATAGGGAGGCCTCAGGCCCCGAAGCCCAGGGCCCAAAAAGGAGGAGAGGAGCATCCGATCAACCGAACAGGTATCCGCGACGATGCAAGATATAAGGTGGCGTTGGAGCTAATTGGAATATCTGGCCGAGATTTGCGTCGTCTGACCAAGGTCATCCTCGATTTTGACATGGACGAGCGCATTACGCATCGATCCCTCATGCCCAAGGATGGCAGCCGTGGCAGAGGTTTACTTATCTAGCAAGAATAAAACGAGGAATTGAGCTGAAAACGTCAACGCAGCGATCAGGTTAAGGTCTAGGCTCCCATGACCGAAGTCAAACAGTTTGGAGTCCGCGCGTGAAAGAAGACTGTCGACGATTCATAGATCTTTGCCACAATGCCGAATAGAGTTGCTCATAGAGCGGGTTTGGGAGAAAATGTATTTTCACTCAACACGTCTGTTGTCACCATCATGTGTTCAAATTTTCGCCTCTCAGTAGTGGAATGAATGTGGGAATATGGTTGTCATACCGAACACCTTGGTTTGCGAGATTGCAAAGTTCGAGGCAAGGAAGCATTTGCCTCGGCGTGGATTGCTTGCTTCAGGCCTAAAACATCGGTCCAGGTTCGTCAATGTCATCTTGTCAATCGGTGTTCAGACGAGCTTCTCATGTTTCCGCGTTATTTCCGCAACGAAAAATGCGAGCATGATTGTGGTCCTGACCCTAGTGGTTGTTGGTTGTTTGTTGCATGTTTGTCGACTGGGGTTGAAATGAGACGACGTGGGCAGTTTCCCGAGGCACTGCACCCCAGTCCTCCAAGCACGGTCGGCATGTACACACTGTGACACTACGCTGCTTGGTTCATTTCTCGTGTCATCATCTGGTGCAATGATACCGATAGGTCTGAGTTCGTGTTGGTGCTCTAGTTATCCTTGTCCGATACGCCGCTAACCAACTCGTGTTGTTAGACTGGAGCGAGTCACCCGCAAGCGGAGGAGGCTCGACTTTCCACGTTAGTCTCCCCACACAATGCCCTTGTCTTGTCTGTCTGGCTCTGATCTACAATTGGCTGCCGCACGGTGTCGCCCAGAAGGAGGCCGTCTTGGCTCATCCCGGAGACCAGCCATCCCTTCTCAGTTCCGATCCAACGCCGACCGCTTGCTTTCATACAGCGTTGGTTACCCCTTGCGGCCGTCGTCTAAATCTGTTGGCGCCAAAAGACCCTGCACCCAAGCAAGGTTAGGAGGGTGGCAAATAAACACCTTGCCGGGGAGGCTTTGAGAGCCTCGGCAGCTTCATTACAACACATTGGGAGCGACTCCAACGACAAGTGGGAGAACCTCCAACTTTTATTTGGCATTGCCTTCATTCCCGCTGTCGGGCTCATAAGCGCGCAAACATAGTCTTCGATGTTCCCTCTTACTCAAGTCTAGGTACGAATTCCAACTTATACATGCGACTCTTTCACTCATGGGAATCACACAGTCCTTTCGGGTGGCGTCACGGAGCCTGCGTTTGCACCGGCCAACAATTACTTGGGTTGACGATGGTTCCAAACTTATCGAGCAGCCCACGGCTTTCGGCAATTACACCTGAAGATGGTGTTCAAAGGGAGGAATTACAAACTCCGCTGTCAGACGTGCCCGACAATGAGCCACCCAATAGCTCGCCTGCCCATCTCACAACGTGTTTTTCTCAAACACCAACCATACCCACTTGCTGGGAAGTTTCAACTGTTGTCATCAAAGGACCCCCACGAGACCCCCGACTAAGACAGAAGAAGCTGTCTGCGTTTGGGAGATCCGATTACCGATACGTCCGCACACTCGTGAAAGCCTTGGAACGTCGACGAGCAAAAGGGTTCGCATTCGAGGAAGACGATTTGAGATTTCTGAGAGAGGTCAGGTCCAGAATTGAGCGAGACTTGAAGTTTCAAAGGATGGTTCAACAGACCAAGAGAGAGATGAGGCAAGCAATGCGAAAGGCAAAGCTGGAGAAGGAAGCCTCGGCTCAGACAAATTCGACTGCCTGACACGATAGCACGGAGTGTAGTACTTTGGACTTCAGTGACAGGGTCTCTGTAGGATTGTAGGGCTAGGCTGATCCAAGGCAGGATGATAGTCCCGAGTGGGGAATGAGCATTATCGTGACAACCTCGTCTACCTTCAAGGTAGTCACAACACAGAAGAGGTTCGCCAAGCCAACTCTATAGTTGCAATCGTCGGTTCTTGAATCATCGTGAAATTCAACACTTCTATGACTGGTAGGCCTTTTCCATTCGGATTTACTGGAACACTTAGTTCGTGCCTGACGAAGGGTATCATCATTCCCCTTCTCAAACGAACAGTCCCCCTTTGTATTGCCGCCTGAGGGCACTCAAGTTCTTACGATTCCACACAAGGCAACCGAGGCCACAGCCTAGCCCTCAAGATCCTCTCACTGTCTACCGTTTGTCAACAGCAGCAACTGGTCTGGTGGTGTAGTGGTTATCACGTCAGTCTCACACACTGAAGGTCCCCGGTTCAATCCCGGGTCAGATCAACCTTTTGTTTTGTGGCCTATTTTTTAGCTTGGTCTTGGTTGTTTTCTAGGTCCTATCGATCATGAAGGCTTCGTATTACTTTGAGATGGATTTCGACAAGTTAAATACTGTTCTGAGGACATTGACTGCACTTTATTGCTGATGAAAGCGCTCCCATGCTACACCGTCCAGATTTTCTGCTCGTATCGAAATCGAGTCTGGCTTGGATGACAGCGCCTGCGGATTTCGGCAAAGCCAGCTGCGAGATGACCAAGGAGGAATCGGTATACAAACGATTACTTTTTCTTTTGTAATTCATCTACTATTCATCTCTCGAAGTCATGCGGGTATTAGCCCACGAAACTGCAGCCACGGGAGTTTTGGTCGGGTAGCGATAAAATCGCAAACTGAATCCCGTCCACGTCAGGACTCTTGACTTGCACGTCATCTTCATCGGGTAACGCATGCAGAGACCGTTGGGGAGGGAGGAACAGATTACTTTCTTGTGATATATTCGACGTCTTGTACGGGTGGCTAAATCCCATCCGTGTTTGGCATGAATGATCTGAAAGCCGCTCGTCGCGCCCAGAAGCAATGCTTGTTAACCCATCCCTCATTATCCTTGTTGCATATCCTCGCTCTTGCCAAATTCGAGGCCCTTTATGCCCATGACAGTGCTTGCTTGTCTCCGCCGTCCTTCGCCCCAGACAACCTGATGGAAGCCAGCGGGAGCCATCGCACCTTTACTCGACAAGAATTGGCAGCTCGGTGGTCGACGTAGAAATGGAGTGGCCCATGAAAAGGTCCTTCATTATCTCAAAACCCGTGGCATACCTGTCGCTGTCGATGAAACCGCCTTGAATGTCGATGACGGTATGTGCAGTGTCGCCGTGCCAGACAGTCTCAACGGTGACGGAAGAGTTGGGAAAGAGGTGCCGAAGGTCTTGGACAGCGAGTCTGGATTGTCTCTTGACGTCGCCGTCGGTGTTGAGGACGTGGAAACCGGCGGTGTGGTAGATGATTCTTGGCTGCAGTCTGGCTGTCTGTCGTGTCAGTCGACTGCAAAGAATGGGAAATCTGTGGAGGGAGAGCATACTGTAAGGCATCATGATTGTGATGTTGATCCTACGATCGCTTGCAGTGACGTATCTTCCAGGGCCGAATGGCGAGATTTATTCGTGATGGACCGGGAGATTGGAGGTGTTGTTGGCTGGGAGCAGGTTTCTGCGTCGCCCGCCGACTGCCACGGATGGAACGCAGGTGCACCTTCCAGGTGAGTGACTGTTTTGCATGCTCATCGATCGCGGTGCAGTCGCATCTAAATTTACCACCTAGGCAGGCACAGCTGAAATGCTGCACTCATGGCGCCTTCCTCCGATTTGTTGCCCCACGGCCGTGGCCGACCCGTACTGGCGTCCCGGCTCGGCCGCCGCAGATGTGGGCCCTGCATCGGGGCGCCACCCGGAAGGCAGCCTAGGATTTCACGAAGGGCATGGACTCATCTGGGAATGCGATGCTTGTCAACAGCCAGGCCCCGGAGGCCCCGGAGGGCACAAGTCGGATTAATGGTCAAAGTGATGACTTCTACATTGCTTGAAGTGAGCAACTAAGGACTCCTCCTTCAAAAGTTGTCATCAGTTGCAGTGTTGTGTCCGGTCTGAGAATTCGGGGTTCTGCGGGACCACCGGTCGCCATAGAAGTTTACATTTGACCGGGACTGGCGACTCTGGGTGCAACATTGCTAAATACGGCTGTGGAGCGAAAGAAAAGCTTAATATGAATCAAACACGATATCACGTGATGTCAAATTCTAACAAGGCAATGCACTTCCCTTGTTTTCAATCTGCGGTGGCTCATTCGGGAGGGATGCCCAACCAACAGATAAACAAATAGTCCCTCTGGGCGGACTGGATGAACACCAAAGACATCCTACCGACTCACCTCCACTCCATCAACCGCCAATCTCGGAACAACCACCGTAGATGAGTTAATCCGACGGCCTGTTCCCGGTCGGGCTCCCGTCTTCCCCGGTGCACCGCTTGGGCACCTCCACTGTGCCTTAGACCACCACCACTGAACCGTCCCACTTGCAGTGTGATGGGCTCCAGTGTCCATCCCGCCCTCGCCTCGTCGCGGTGTGCCAGCTCAATCCACCCTCACTGAGCCACCCACTCCACGTCACTCGCTCGCTCACCCACCCGCCCGTCCACCGCCCTCGACGTCGCATCTCATCAATCGCCGCCGCCGCACAACTCCATCGACAACCTCTAGACTGAGTTCGCGCGCGTGCGCGCACCATCGCGTCGCGATGAACCTCACCGAGGCGCAGGCCGAAAAAGTCCTATCAACGTGGCGCATCTCCCGCCTCGAGGACATCCTCGGCCCCGAGCTGTCGCCGCGCTCGTGGAGCAACAACCTGCGCAAACACCTGTGCATGCTCTGCCGCCTCGTCAACCTGGAGCAAGCCCGCATCCTGCTGTCAAACGAAGTCACGGCCCGTCTGGCCAATCGCACCCGCAATAGGGGCATCCGTCGCGATCACTTGAGTGATGTTGATGTCATGCGCGTTCTTGATAGACAGGTCCGTTCCGAAAACACGCCCATCCCTCACAGCTCCGCTTCAATGTCTCCCGTGTCCGAGTGAAAGGTCCAACGACAACCGCCATTGACATGCTGCACAGGAAGCGCAAATACGAGGGCATTCCGACGTCTACAGCCAGTACTCGCCCTCGCCGGCGGCGAACCAGGCGATGAGGCGTCTAGACAGGGTCTCGGAAACCCCCGACTACACCCGCCCCTATCCACCCGGGCCGAGTCCGGACCTCTCCGCCGACGCCTCATCTTACCACCCAAGTACGGCATCATCCCCCGCCTCAACCTCTGCCTCAACCTCCATCACCACCGCCCCGTCTTCCAACCCACGCACAGGGCCTTCATTACAATGGTCCTCCACCGCCCTCCAACTCCTGGCGCGCAACGCCGCAGCCGGCAGCCGCAGTGACTACTATGAGGCCGGCCCGTCAACATTCGACGATGGAGATCGTCGGATGAGTCTAGGGGTACGTCGCCAGGACCAAAAATCTCAGAATTACCGCTGACACTATTCCAGCCAAGGGCTGAAGATGGTACTCCCGCCCGCTCATCACCAATACACGGCCTGCCGTCACAAACGCCGGCTTGGGCCTTGCCCCAACACTCCCGTCAATCACAAAATTCACACCAACCGCAACCATCACGGCAGTCCCAGCATTCACATCAACGGGAATACTCTCGTCAATCGCAATACTCACAGCAACCGTCATCATCTGCCGGTCAACGTCACAGCAGCCCGGCAAGCGAAATCGTAGTCCAAATTCCAGAAACGAAAACCGGCACACCCGCTAGAGCGACCAACTATCGAGAGACGAACCGTCGAGAAACCAAAGTCATGGCCGCGCCGCCGCCAAGAGCCCGGTCTCCCACGACAGCAAGGACCTCTGGCAACTCGGTGGCACACACGAGAGCAGAGGAATCGCCACGGTCTAGGCCTACCAGGACCACCGACGACCCAGAACCAAACACCAGGGCCGGGGCATCACCACGGCAAAGGCCACTCCCAACACCGTCACTCAAGACCGATACCTCGGGAATCCGCGCCATGACCGAACCGCCACAAAGAACGCAGACCACCGCTACTACTACCACCACCGCCACCACCACCACCACATCATCCTCATCATCCTGGAACAATTTCCGCCCCGAATCCCACGTTCCCGCGTCGGCCCCGCAAAGGCCATGGCCGGGGACTACATCAAGAACAAACAACCCTCCAGAACATCGCACAAGGCCCCCGGACCCGCCGCGGAGGAGCGAGAGCAGCACGACCCCCATGACCGACGACACAGAAGGCATCACGGTAGTAGAGCGCCACAAGAGGAAACGGGAGAGCATGATGGCCGACCTCGAGGGCGATATAGAGAAGCTGGGCTACAGGGTCGACATACAGCGGACAACGGTCAAGCTCCGCCAGCACGAGTACGCTCAGGAGCAAAGGTACCTGGAGGCCGCCCGCGCCAAACTCGAGAGTCTCTCATCGGGGGACGCCGTCGCCGCCCAGATGGAGCAATTTCAGGGTTTCCTCGCAGGCCTTGACGATCTCGTTGCCAGATACCCCGCCGTACTTCACGCGCACGACGACCACAGCGCCAACGACATGGGTCGAGCCCTGGCATCGCCGTCTCAGCCGCCGGAGGAGACAGACATGGGTCTTCAACCCGGCATGCTCTTCGACGCCCTGAAGAGGGCCGTCAGGGTCAAGATGGGCTCGGCAGCACATCAAACAGAACGACTACAGGATACGAGAAGGGTGGGTGAAAGAGAGCTCAGGGTGGCCCAGGCCGCCGTGGACGAGACGTTGGCAACACTGGAGCATGCAAGGGAGGACCTTTCCAAGCTCGAAGATGACCTCCACTTCTTGTCGATTGAAAAGGAGCGTTTGAGCGACAGGTTTGGTTCTTAGCACACGAACCAACAGATGAAAAGTTTTATGAGGCATCATGTCACAAGTAATGAAGTTCCGCAATGGATACCATTTGTTCATCAGTTTTAGGTTAAGCGGTCACTTCACGTGTTTAGGGACGGTCATATTGGGGGCGTAGCACGACAGGACCAGGTGCCAAAGTAAATGCTGCTTTTGAAGATCTCATTTTTCAGGCAATCACCAGCGGCAGCAAGGACAAGAAAGGGTACGGACGCAAAACGCTTCATTCAAAATATACCAATAGACAATGACGTAAGGAGTCGCTGAGACCAAACATTCATCCAACCCCGAGCATCGTTACCGTCGCTGTTTTTGATGCATTCAACGAGCACCAGCAGTAGCGCAGGATCAACACATCGCCGCAGAGATGAAGACTCTCATCTGTAGATGAACTCATAATCGTCCTGCAACTGGACTTATACTCATTCGTTCCGTCTCTTGAACAGCCTTCGCTGACTTTTCCCTCCTTTTGTGGCGCGTGTCTCATCCTTATCATCGTCCTGGGCTGATTGGGAATTGTTGCCGGTTTCTCTTGGCATTAGGAGGTTCTCGGTTGGGATTGGTTCTTTTGTTTTGCTGAATAGTTTGAGAAAGGTCTTGAGTTTGGATGGTTTGGGGTCAACGCTCGGGACTTTCGCAGAAATAAAGTTGGAAGGGATGGAAGCTTCTGCAGAAATATTGTCAGAAACGCTGGCTGTAAGTCAAAGGTGAGAAACAAACTGACCATCAGCCTCTTTCACGTGTCCTTTCAGGACCGCCAAGATTCTGCGCTACAGATTCTTGCGCTTCTCGACATCCGCGGGTTCGTTTTGGGGATGTACATCGTTGGTAGTTTCCACCTTAGGCTGTGTGGCACCCGAAGTGTTGGTGTTGCCAGGCTTCTGCTTCTTTTCACTGTCGCTTGCATCTTTCGGTAAAGAAGACTCGGGAAGAGAAGGCTTCTTGCTTGCATTGGGGTCAGTAATCTTCGTCTCGCTGGATGATGCGTCTGAACCCTGGGAATGCGAAAGGGGAGAGGCTGGAGTAATGGCATCGACGTCATCACCCGCAGAAGGCAGACGGGGAGGAGCTGGGATGATGGCATCGACGTCGTAATCCATAGACGGTGGATGGGGAGTTATGGTCCTGATCCAGTTGTCAATCCGGGTGCCCCAGGCGTAGAGGTCGCGGAGTAGGGGGTCCTCTTGCACATTGAGACGGCGAATACATTGGGTGCCGGGAACGTTGGCTATTGTCGGCTCAAGAGAGCCTGACTTTGGGGGTCTGTTGGTGTCAGGTACAGACCTCATTGACCTTTGAGAGCCCGACCTAGGATGGATATCGTTGAGAACTTTAGGCCTCGTCGACTTCCGAGAGCCCAATCTGGGAGCACTGTTGTTACTAGGTGCGGATCTCGTCGACTTCTGAGAACCCGAGGTGGGATATTTGTTGAACAGTTCGAGTGCTGTCGGCTCCCCAGAGCTCGAGCTGGGAGCTCCGTTGTCGGAAGAAATGCAGCGCATATTGGGAGAAATGGGGTGGTATGGATGGAGTGGTTGTGTCGAGGAAGTAAGCCGACCGGAGTTCGGTCTCAGTGAAGTACGAATGGAGTTGCGAAAACGGCTTTGATACGTATGCAATGCGGAATGGGATGGATTATGTTTGCGTCCGATCTTGATATTGCAGTGATGATGTCGGAGGAAAAAGGCCGGAGGAGGGGGGGAGAGTCGAGACAGGGACGTGTCATGGGACATGTGGCAGACTCGTCGGGTCAATTGGCTGAGGTAGGCGCAGTTGTTTCGTGCTTGCTGTTGATATGAAGGAGGCGAGTTTGAGGCTGGGCTGCTTCCAAGCTGGCTTGAGAAAGAACGACAGGCTGGAGCATGCAGTGGTAGTGACGCCTGCGCTTAAAGCTCGAGAGAGCGTTTAAATTTCCAATAAGGCAGGCAAGATCAACTAAGGTAAGGTATTGTGGCCACCGCAAGTGCTCCTCGAAAGCCATCGCCCATTTAGGCCTTCCTGAAGCTGCCTTGGCACCACCTTTCTTCCTTTCCAATTCTAGCAAACAGGAAACCCCGGTTCGCACACCTTCCAGCCGTCTGCGGAATTCTGCGAACGTGACAAGTCAAGAACCATGCTCATTCAGGGCCATGATTTCGCGCTCGACATTCGTCACTCGCTGTTTCGGAAGAAGCCTGAACACCCAAGGAGCCGCGATGGCAAGCAAGGCCCCCAGTCCGCAGGTGGCAGTCAAAGTCGAGAACCCGACCAAGTGCTGTGGCGCACCCGTGCTGGGCCACAGATAGCTCCCGTAGATGATGGCAAGGTGTCCAAACGAGTTGACCATCGCGATCGCCACCGACCTCTTCTGGTCCGGAAACGGAATCGACTCGCTCGTCCAGTTGAGCATCAGCGGCAGACCCGTGTACAGCCCCGCCACGAGCAGACACATCATGACGTACTTGGCGATGGCGGATTTGACGACTGCCGAAACGAGGCAAGCGACGGCCGCGAGTCCGAACAGACCGACGCTGTGCCATCGACGGTCCTGGGTTTTGTCTGATGTCCACGACAACGCCAGCTGGCACACCGCACCCGCGATCCAGATCGGTACCGTCATCCACTGCGCCGTGACATTGGTGTAGCCCATCGCCTTGAGGATCGTCGGGACAAAGTACGAGATGGACATGCCGAGGATGATGATGCTGTATGACACAAGGAAGAACAACGTCTTCCAATCGCATACCACCGCCTTGAAAGCTTCCCATGAAGTCATCCGGCGAGTCGTGGCGTGAACGCTCAGTTGACGGTCGAATAGAATCCGGATCCTGGCGAGGCGACGCTCTTCCGACGAGAGGTATCGCGCATTTTGAGGGTAGTCGGGGAGAATAAAATAGAGCCCGAACCCGCAAGCGACTGTGAGAACTCCTTCGATGATGAGAAGCCAGCGCCATCCAGGAATACCGTGCGTTCCTTCGAGACCTTTGATAATTGCGCCAGCCATGATACCACCGAGCGCTGGGGCAATGCAGCCAGACGTGTAAAAGATACAGAACCGTTTGCCTATGGTGTTGTAAGCAATTGCCTCCACGTTGCCTGGGAGGGAAACGCACCGATCTCTTTCTTTGTGTACCAGCAGGTCAGCAGAAAGATGGCACCTGGGAACAGACCAGCCTCAATGCAACCCAAGAAGAAACGGCCGGCTAAAAAGCCGTTGTAACTCTTTGTCTGCGATAGACCAATAACGACACAACCCCAGACCCAGACAATGGTGGGAAGGTAGATAGAAGGCCGACATTTGTTCATGATCATGTTTGAAGGGACCTCGCAGACAAAGTACCCTACAAAGAAAAGGTAGACCAGCAGCGAGTAGTCTGCAACGAAGCGTCAGTTTGCCGCAAGATTCTCAAACATGCAAATAACCCACCATTATCGGCCATTTGAAGGTCATCGCTCATACCGGCAGCATTCGCATTGGCCTCAAAATCATGTCAGCATCTCTCCATGATGGACCATGACTGCACGGGATGCCTTCTTACAATGTTCCCCCGATCGAGGTAGGCTAGCACGTACATCCACCAAAGGCATGGAAGCAGCACGAAGTCTATCTTCCAGACGAGACGCTTCTCCTCTGCGGTATCAGGCACGTGATTCTGTAGCGCCACGGCCAGTTCCTCATCTTCGTCGAGTTCGTCATCGGGCTTGATTACATCTTCGGCCGTAAACCCTTTGGGCGGATCTGCCCGCGGAGATGGCGGCATCGTATCCTCGGCATCGGGGGCCTTGGTGCTGTCTGTCATACTCAGGCTCAAAGATGACACGTAGAAGGCTTTTGCATGCTAATACCGAGCAAATATTGTTGGGAAATTTCCAGCAGCTAGAAACTTGCCGGGCTACATTGGAGGGTTCGTTCATCTAAAGAGGTTCACGGCCGGCAACAACAACCTCAATTCACTCAAGTCATTCGGGTTTCCTTAACCGGCGATTTCACGAAGACCTGGTCGCTTGGCGACTTGGCAAGATAAGTCGATTGGGCTAGACGGTTTAGATTCCCTGGGATTGGGGACAAAAGTGGATTTGCCAAGGCGATGGATGAATGTCTTCCTTGGGGATGTCCAGAATGCGGGGATTTTGCTGCCCCGCGTGTGACCTCCACCAAAGGTTGTATGGTTCAGATAGTCTAGGCTGGCCAAAGATATCGGCGTTAGTTGCCGAAGGAAAAGCTGAAGATTTCCTCCTATGGCATTGCAATGGATATGGGAGCACAAACCATCTGCGGTTTTCTTAATTTGAAACGAGGCATTAACCCAACGTCACGCGAGATGAACATTTGCCATAAACCTGTTCACATGGCCGTCATTGCTGTGCATTGAAGTCGCTGAATCCTATCTCCCTTTCGATGCATATTACGCTAGTCTTTTCCTAAGACCGTCTCCTTGGTTGCGAAGCTGCATACCGTCCTGTAACCGCTGGTGCAGACCACCGTTTCCCCAAGCTTTTGGGCGTAAATTACACAGGCGAGAAGGTATGCCTACCGCCAGGGGTTTCCAAGTGTTTCCGTGATTCTCGAGATCAGACTCAGGCCTCTCGTGACCAAGCAGACCCCTACAAATGTCCGCCAGACAAGACCATCCTTCGTGATTGCAAGCCCAAACCCAAGAGCAGTCCACTGTCATTCTAGCTGTTGAAAATTGTAGTCAAAGGCTTCACCAGTGTTCTATGGAGCCTTCCGCCTCCACTTCGAAAACCTGAAGTGATGGGAACAAAGTCTTGACTGTTCGAGCAGCCACGTCCGTCGCCTCGTGGTCAGGAAGATATGTGTCGAACAGCGTATTTCGTACACGAAGGACCCGGAGACTTTTCTGAGTCTTTATCGTAACGTCTTTACGCTCGAAAACATCGGGAATGTGCACGGCGAAACCGAGATAAGTCTTCTGCAAATTCGTCTGAAGGCGCGCAATCCCCTCGATAAGTCCATGGGTGTCGACAACACCTTCGAGATTCCAGCTGAAGTAATCCAGCTTGCCGAGGTGACGAATCAAGTCAAGAATATCAGATTGCTCAACTTCCCGGTCGAAAAGAGGGTGCAGGCTGGGTTGTCTCGTGCTGGTAAGAGAAAGACTCTCCAAGTCCCGAAGCTTCGCGAGTTGGGAGAAACTGGTGGGAGGGAAATTAACAGTGTCGCCTAAATCTATTGTCAGGCTAGTCAGGTCAGTGAGCCGTGAGATTTCCTGAATGGCAGCGTGGTGGCTGATGCGAATGTCAAGCTGCCGAAGTGCTTCAAAACCGGCCGCGCCGCTAGCAACCGACGGCCCGAGAAGCATCAATCTAGGAAGCTGCTCCGTTTTGAGTACCAATTTCTCAAGGGCGGGGCATTTTCGGAAATCCTGAACCAGGCTTCCAGGAGGCTTGCCGCGGCCAAATCGCACCAAAGCGTGCTCCAAGTTTGGCCATGAGATGGAGTTTTGGGGCTCAAGGTCGAGAGAGGACCCCAAGAAGAAGTCGATATCAAGCCGTTTCAGATGGCTGAAGTTGCGAACCTTCCCGATGAAAGTTTCAGGGACCCACTGGGAGGATAACATCTCCAAGTTGAGAATTCTGTTGAGCTGGGCGAAGTGGCGAACAAGATCCGAAGCAGCTGCGTCGCACCGAGTGATATTAAAATTCTTCAGGGATCGAAGCTTGGGGAAGCTGAGAGCCAGCACGCTTGGCAAAGTCTCTGAGGATATCTGTCTAACGCGGAGAGTCCTAACGTGGTTGGCATACGTTTGTCTTCTGCCGTTGCGAGACGGCACCTGTATGAGTGCAGACAACTCGGCTTCTTTCCATCCCACTTCGATAGCAAGATCGAAACATCTGCTGTTGAGCTGGGCGAAGAGAACCAATTTCCTCTTTGGTAGGTGTTGCAGGATTGCAATTTGCATCTCAGTTGGCATGGCTGAGAAACAATCCTATAGGTTGCGATTGGGGGCTTGCGACGACATTGTGATTTCGGATAAATGTGATCGGTGAGGATGGATGGAGAGATACTTGGTGACCTGTTGTGATGGGTTGCGTCGAGATCGATGTTTTGGGAGTGAAGTTCGAATGGTGGGAGAACGTTGACGTGAGGTGATGGTAGGTCAGTGAAGGTGAGGCTGTTGGTTGACTTCACATGCTGGCTGAGGCAGGATGAGTGCAAGGGGATGCCCCAAAGCTGAGCAGCTCCTTCCATACATACCGGGCTATCTCCCTGGGTAACGACACTTGTGGCTCCAGCTGCAGCAGCGACTTCGTGCTCCTTCATCTGAACTTTCCATTCCAAACAAAAGCTCCTTCGTTCATTTGAGGTGTCGTCAGCAAAGTCAGGACTGCGGATCAGGCAGGAAGGGGGGTGGTGGGCAGCCCATCCACACCAGCTTTTACGGAAGCCGCCCGCCTGCCCTTCTGGCGGACTGGCTAGTGATAACACCATGAGACTCCATGCCCGCGTCCTAACGCAGTGCTTGCCATCCCATTGATGGCTTCCATCTTCCGCGGCACTCATCAACCAGAACAAAGGGCGAATAGTTCAGTGGTAGAATGTCCGCTTCGCATGATACGTCTACCTTGCTTGCGGAGGGTCCTGGGTTCAAACCCCAGTTCGTCCATTATTTTTATGCTTTTTGCTTCCAACCCCCAGCCTTATTTGTTTTCTTCGGCTCCTTTCGTTTTGCGTAGCATACCAGACTTCACACCTGATTTTCTACCTTGGGACAATCGCCCTGTATCTGTATCTCAGCCCTACTAAGTTTAATGCAATGAGACCATCGTCTTCTGGGCGTGCTGCACAGCCTCAAATTCTCATTGCCTTCGATTACAAACCATCGTACGAACTCCGGCTTTCCGCTTCCACAGCCTGTCACGATAGTGAACCTAGCACCCTGGACACTCGCTTCTTGGTTCCAATTTGTCTCGTGCAGAGTGTCATAATTTCATTCCCATCACAAAGTGTGCGATAACCAGATCAAGATGTACACGTGACGGAACATCTGTCGTCCTTCGTTGCACACTCATGCGTCTCGCTGAGCCTTTTCAAGTCGGTATCCAGCTCCTTCCAGATGCTGTTATCAGAAACAGACAGGTTCGACCCCGATGAGAGTCCGCAATCCCCCGCCAACAACCCCGACTGCTTCCACATGGACTACCCCAAGTTAGGTCCACACGCTTAGACTTAAACAAACCACTCTGGTTGTCGTAGACGTGGGTATAAAGTGGATTCTTCACTGAGCCCAGCCCTTTCGCGATGTCTGAAAACACGACATGAACTGAGCTGATCATATCCGTCCTCGGTAAATCTGCCAGACTCAAAGTTCCTGGGTGTGTCATTTTGGCCCGCGGATAGGTGTGTACATCTAGCCTGACGTTCTGAAGGATTTCGTCTTTCAAGTTCCGTGAATGACTCAAGGGTTTGGCTCGACTGGCAACGATCTCCGTTGCAAATTCGCTGGCCTGTTTGAAAAGTTCAGGGATGCAGCCCTCAGGAAACTGGAGGTCGTGAAGCTGGCAAACGATTGGTGTGTCTTGGAACTTCTGCTTTCCTGTGACTGAGTCCACGTGCACGGGCGTTTGGCTGAATCGGAGCCTCCATAGATTCCCTAGTGGCCGGTAGACAGAGTCAGGAACACGTTGTAAGTTCCCTGCAGCCTTGTCGTAGATCATCAATTGCGACTTGATTGAATAACAAAGTCGCGGGCCGGGATTATCGGCGGTGGAGCGACCATGGAGACCCCGCTGATTTGGAGCTTGCGATCCGCTGCGATTTGCTGGGCATGTTGACATAGATTTCGTCCACTTTGAGAAACGGTCTGCAACTGGGTATCCGTCTAATCCGATTGACTCAGGGAAGTAAAACCTCATCTTGCCAAGAATCTCAATCCCTTCCAACAGTCCCTCTTCGACCAATACATTATGGAAGAGTGTGAGCATCATGGGCCTCGGGATGGATGCCCAAATGATTATGCCTGTACAAAACGCCATATTCAGACCTTTGGTCAAGCTGTTACCGCAAAGCCAAGGTGAGTGCTGCAAAAGCCCTCTGCAACCAGTGGTGGGAACTTGCGAGGCGAGGTCACAGGCTTCTGTGAGCTTGTTGGGGTAAGCCACTGGGAGAGCTCCGATTCCAGATTTTTGATCATTTCATTTGTAATCATCGAACCCCCGGCTAGCTTGATGCTTTTCCTGAAGAAGCTGCTTCAGCGCACTTGCCCCTTGTAATCATGTATCCTGAACGATGGCTAGCTTTGTCGCCATACACGAACGCTCTGATTTCCTTGGTCCAATTGTAGAAGAACGCGGGGGCTCCAACACATGGCCTTTGAGATGGTGCATAGACCAACCAGAAGAGACTGTGAAGAAGTCGGCAATGGATTGCAGCTGGAACACATGCTGTGGGAGAATCTTGCTCTCTTGCGGGGCCCCCGACTTCTTCATGACGAGGCCAGTGAGAAAGCTTGCAAAGTTTAGTCCAATGAGACTTTTCTGCTTTCCATAAACACCGCCAAGAGACCAATCAAGATCTTCCAAAGCCAGCTGGACGTCTATGGACACTCGAATCTCAAAGGCTGGAAGCGCATAGAAGTTTACTAGATCATACAGCCACTCGATCGTGTGTTGACGGCGCCACGCTAATCTCTGGGCTTTTGTGGCTTGTTGTACATCCAATCTCGGTTCCCAATCACGGATCCCCATTTGCATCGCCTTGTTGGGCTTCCCGTTCCGAACTTTGCGGTAGTCGCGATGAAATCTAACAAGTCATAGTATGCATGAACTATAGACTGCTCGGCCATGTCCATACAGCCTGACACTCTTCCCCAATACGCTTTGTCGGGACCATAGAGAGTGGCTACCAGAAAGACTGCGTACCAGTTGCATCCTCGAGATCGGATGTTCTCCTTCGGTTCAGCCCGGAAAGTGCCAAGTAAATTTGCGTCCCCGTCACGGTTGGGGAACTCGGCGAAAATAGCCAGTTGGGCTTGCTGGATCATGGAAACCGCCATGTTCGATTGCGCTGCTGCGACGACGCTATTGAACCCCTCGTAAGCGACCTCGTGCCAGGTGTCCTGTATGTACGCTCTCGGTGCAGACCACTCCTGAGCCAGAGCGTGTGTAGCCATGGAGCAGCTTCTCAAGGAATCCTCATCATCACCGACAATGTCGAAGTCAGTAAAGGACACGCGGTCGAAAGGGCCAGTTTTGAGGGCTCTCGAGACGTTGTGTTTCTTCCCCTTCTTTCCCTTCGCCGACTTGAGCAACCTTTTGCATTTCTTCCGAGCCTGCCTCTGCGCAGGGACATGCATTGACGACGCCTCTTCGGGCTCATGGTATGATGCCGAACCATTTGAATGAGACGACAGAGCTGGGAACATATTGCCGAACATGGTCTCGAGGTTTTGGACTCCTTCGAGAGGCTCGTCGTCCTCGAGACTTTGACAGCGCTCTCAATTTTGGCTTCTCAGAATATTGGAAACTATGGAAATGGCAAAGATGAAGACCTTGTGGCACGCGTTGCTTCTCTCGAGGTCAGGATCCAACTGTGACGTCTGAAAAGAATGGTACTGTTCGTAGAATGAAGTCCTGATTCGGACGACGGACTTCAGTGACCGACCGAAAGATGATGCTTGGAGTAGACTGCTCGAAGTGCGCGATGCGACGCGCCATTGCCAACGTGGGTGAGATTGTGATGTGGCCGGTCGTCGTCGGCTGGAGCGGGTTTCCATCATTGTCGGCAACAGAGCGCCCTCGGATCGCGCCACTCGACGTGTTGATCATCCAGTTCACAAGGAATCGAGTGCCTCTTTTGTATCTGATATGCGCGTTCTCATTCGTCATGGTCATGAACGGGCGCTACCTTGGTCGTCGGAAGCGTTGAATGGCACCGAGTTCGCGTCGAGCAGATCCTGGGCACCAGAAGAAATCGGTCTCTAAGCGAAGACTGAATGTTGGCAGGATGGAAAACAACTCACTGGTGGCTGAGAATTGCTGTAATGAACCGAGGTCAGCAAGCAGTCGGCTGGCCAGTTGTCGAGAAGTTAGATGCTGCGATTTTGACTGTGTACAGGATATCCAAGACGTTTTCCGTGTGGGTTGGAGTGGGAGATTCCGAAACCCAACAAACGGTGACCAAGGCGTTTGTTCCGGGGCTGGAAGCTGACTGGGTATTGTGCCAAAAAGACAAAATGTCAGAAAACTGGCGACAATGACGGCAAGCTTGGCCGCAAACAGGACTGAAATGGCTAGGCTGGCGACTTTGATTTCTTTTCATTGTTGGCTGGGTGCAAAAGGATGTGCCTGGGGTGTTGGTTGAATGGTCAGCAAAACCATAGACATTTCAGTCTACCGCTGGCACCATGAAGAGCAAGAAGGACCTCAAACCTTAATTTTATTGTCCTTCAGATTCAATTCAGACTCTGGGCAAGACGGAATGTTGCAAGAACTATTCGTTGCAGCAACTACATTTGTCTTTCATAGTACTCTTCGTTCCAATTTGCATTTGTCCAAGTGACATTTACTAGGTGTTTAAATGCTGTAAATAATCACCATATACATCTAACTGCCTTTTTTACAGCTGCATTTGAAATAGAATAAGCACCACATCTCGGCATGACCTCCAATATCATCCGGCTATCCCCAGGTCTCTGGTCTAGCCATTCTCGCCGTAGCGTGCATGCATGATCCACAAGTGGACACCCACGGCAGATTGATCATCTCATACGGTCGATTGGCCCAGTGGTTTAAGGCATCTGCTTTACAAGCGTGTTCCGCAGAGGATCGCAGGTTCGATCCCTGCATCGATCATGTTTTGATTTTTGCACCTTCCCTTAACTTCAGAGAGCATAAGTCAAACGTCAATAACCTCACATTTGGCAATGTGCGTGACCATTAGCAGTCTTACGCGGGCGACAATCAGTTGAGTAGC